GGCGGGCCTGCCAGGGGCGCCGCCGGCCCCGCGCGAGGGCTCAGGAGCCATGCGGGATGCGGGGGGGCGGGGAGGTGAGGGCAGCGGCGGGCGGCGGAGCTGGGGCAGCGGCAGGCTGGACCCCCCAGTTGGGCACCCCAGGGCAGCTGGGCTGGGGGCAGCCGGGGACATGCTGGTCACAGCCACCGCGAGGGGTGGTCAAGGTGCCCAGAGAAAGTGTGGGAGCAGGATGCGGCCGGAGTCTGGGGGCAACATGGCCGAGCCCCTGCTCTGATAACCTCCCTCCAGCTCCAGCTCTTCTCTTCCCCTGGGGGGGATGTGAGCAGAACCTGGGGCAGGACAGGCCCCCACGGAGCAGCCCAACGCCTGGCAGGTCCCCGGGGCTCCTGGGGGTAGGAGGGAGGCATCGGCTGTGGTCTGGGGGGGCACAGCCCTGATGCCGGTCCCTGGAGGGGCACAAGCTGTCCCCTGCTTAGCAGCGAGCCCCGTGCTGTGCTGGCAGCAGGGATGGGGGCTCAGCGCGGCCCCTCTCACCTGCCCGTGTCCTGCCCAGCCCCGCAGTGTGCTGCAAAGCCTGGCAGGACAGGCTGCGGCAGGCTGGCAGCGACTGGCCCTGGGCAGCGCCCCTCTGTGCCGGCAGCATCGCTGGGGAAGGGTACGAGGCCGCAGGGACAGGAGCGCGGCGTGGCCGAGACCCGTCGTTGGGGGCCAGGGGGTCCCTGGGGATCCCGAAGGACAAGGAAGGCAGCACGTGCAGGCAGGCAGGGCAGATGCAAAGAAGGCAAGGGAGAGCAGGGAGGCAGCAGCAGCAGCACGTCGCACCCTGGGACCCACAGCCGCTGCCGGCTGCCTCCCCTCCGCCCCACGGCGGGGTGACCCACAGCCGGGAACAGGCGACGCAGCGACAGGCAGCAGCTACAGGACCCCGCACACATCTACCGCATGCAAAAATCAACCCCAAATGGCATGCAAAACCAGAAGCAGCGAATGGGCTTACTTGTGCAAACTAGTGTCCAGGCAAGGTGGGGAGCAGGGAGGGGAAGAGCGGTGGGAAAACTCAGGTCAGTTCAGCGCGTGAGAGCCAAGAAACACAACGAAGCTGCGCGAGGGGCCCCCAGGAGAGGAGATGACAGCAATTAAAACCCCGGCAACCCTTCGCCTCCTGCCTGCAGCGGGGTCCGCACGGGAGGGAAAACACTGGGGGAGTCACCGGCGTGGCACCGCTCTATTCTCGGGCACCATTTCGGCATGACTGAGGCCTGACAGGGGCAGCTTTGGGTGGAAACACCCCATTTCAGTCCATTTTGCTGCCCTAGCTCTCGCAAGGGATCTCTTTGCCCCCCTCAGAATTGGGGCCGGGTGCGCGGCGTGCCCCTGCCCCACAGGCAGCACACAGTGGTGGGACCGTGCTGACCCCACATCCCCCACAAATGTTGGCTGCACCGCAGGGAGAAAACGGGTCTCGCCTCCACGCCGCCGAGGCCCAGCTCCTCCCTCAGCAGCTCGAGCCAACCGGGAGCACGTGCCGGTGAAACGGGGCCCAGGGGGGACCGAGCAGCCATTTGGGCCGTGATCCACGAGCACCCGTCAGCTTTCAGCCTCACCGGCAGAGCCGGGGGTCACCATGCAGCCCTGGGTGCACCCCTCATGTCGTGCCGGCCTCGAGGACGGACCCCCGCTGTCACCCCACATCAAAGCCACCGCGTGGCAGTCCCATGGAGAACGGCCATGGCCTGGGCGCAACGGGCTCCGGCATGGGGTTGGTCTGCGAGACCCCGCTGCCATTCAGAGCTGTTTTATGGGGGTGAACACCCCTCAGCAGGCCCCCCTCATCCTCCATGTGCTGCCCACCAGGCACTGCCTGTGCAAAGCCAACGGGGACCAGGGGCTGGCCAGCCCTGCTCACTTCTGCTGCACTGGCAGGCTGAGAGATGGGGGTGGCACGGCACCAGGACATGTCACCGTGGGGGGGACATGGCACTGCAGGGCCACATGCGGGGACAGGAGCCATTTCCCTGCCGCGGTGCTGGTCCCGCTGCGCCGGACGGCTGCGGGATGGAGGCACGGGCACACTCGCTCGCCCCCGCTCCGCGGCACGGCCCCAGTGAGGCCTTACCGCCTCAAACTCGGCCTGGTCATCCTCGGGCGCGTCGCTGGTCTCGTAGACGTCAGGTTCATTCCAGGCCTGGGGCACAAACGGGCTCCGGTGAAACCCCAGCTCTCCTCGGCTATTCATCATCCGTTTATGATCGAATATCCCACAACTGCCCCAAACAGCATCAGACACCACCTCAGCCCACAGACACCCGCAGCAGCTGCCTGCCCCCCCCACACCCCCCATCTCCCCAAAGACTCCACATCCCTTCAGGACACCCCTGATGTCCCCAAACGCCCCA